TAAGTCAAACTGACGTACAGAACATTGTGGATAGCGGACAATATGTTGCTCCTTTTGGGGCCTGTATATCTCGTTTCTGTTCTTCTCTTTTCCATATGTATTTGCGCATCCAAACATCCTGGATGTCGTCCGATAACTACTGGTATTACAAACTCCAACATTTGGAGGCGTAACATACGAAAGGTAATCTTCTCTACCCAAAAATTCCTTCCTGAGATTGCGAACGCTAACAACACGGCTGGCTAGCCAAACAACCTTAAGGTTTTACCAGGTGGACGCTCCGGGTTCCTCCTGTTCTAGCAGATGGCTCCGCGGCAGTGTAAAAGGACGTGGTGGTTGTGCCTGTCAAGCGTTCATCCTCTAAACAGCCACTCATATCCGTTAAACAACACTCTGCCGTGGTGGACATCACACGCCACAAAATAAAGTCTTTGCCTCCTTCCATGCTGAAGGAATGTACCCCAATCTCGCACGTCAGCCAATTCGGAGCTATCAATTGATCGTAGTCTATTTTGCAGAATGCAATGAACACAACAGGAACATCAGCATGAATATAACAAAGTCACACAACCTGATTACTAATCCATACACTCATTTATATACATACAATGTACATCTAGGACCTAAAGTTTAAATTGTAATATTTGGGCGGTTTACTGACTGTACTCGTCAGTAGTAGTATGCTTTCGCCTTTTTATGCGGTCTCGTACGGTTGGAAATGAAACATTTATTTAGTTAATTCAAACACAGCACACGCCTAAAATATACTTTTTAAATAAATAAAGGAAATTTAAAAATTTAACTAAGAAATCTTGCGCAAGGCTATGTGTATACAAGTTCAGACGCAAGAAGTTATCGCTTGTTATTTATTCTTCCTGCACAATGGCTCTAATACATCGGCCATACCGGACAACACAACCCAATTTCGGTCGGTTTTGATTTCACGCTTTGGCTAATCCGATAGAGAAACGGTAGGCAGGTGTAGAATTTACCCAGTCGAGGGATACGAGGGTTTCCGAATCCTGAGCGTACCTAAACCGAAATAGAACAATTGGACGAAAAGAAAACGAAGTAAATCCTATGCGGCGCGACGACCATTTAGTTAGAGTCGCCGTTGGATGTAGTGCTCTTGAATTGCACCGCATGGTGTTGGACGACATTGTCACAACTATCAATGGAGGGCAGAACCTTAAGTGACCGAATAAATGGCGAAAACGCGTAATGAAGATGGCTGTTCTGGGGACATCGAACACGAAGTTGGTAAGCAAAAATAGAGGAATGGTAATTCCATGCTAGGCTACACTCGGCGCCATCTTGCCTGATGAATTGCTACCGCGGCGTTCTGACCTGCTATACGTTGCAGACGTTTGGCGGGAACACGTTTTGGCGACCTACTTTCAATAGTACAAATGCGTATGACACAAAGTGCTAACTAAAATTGCGTAGGATGAAGTGAATAAAGCATAAGTAAAATAAATTGATAAAAGTCGGAGGAAAAAGGAAAATACATATCCCATTGTCTACAAAATAGGAAACGCCGAAAAATATACCTTACAATTAAGATGACGAAGTACATGGAAAACGCAACCTAAACTGCAACAGCAAGGAACAATCATGTAAGTCATAATGTGCTGAAATTATATGATTTCAATGTGCAGTAACTGTAAAGAAGGTACTCCAATGATGGGTGGCGCTTTTTTGTTTGGTTTACCTAGCCTCGGCACCCTCCATTTAGGCCCCAGCTAAAATATAAACGATTGAGTCCACTACGGAAAAAGCTCCCCTCAAATGCAGTGGTCCTAGTAGAAAAAAAGTAGATCCGATGTGCTGAAAGTAACGCACACTCAATCCCAACGGTTATCACACATCGAATAGTAAAACCAGGTGGATCAATAATGACCATAGTGATAACGAGAACAGTACGTCACAAAGAGAAAGCACCGATCCCACACGGATCAGAGAGTGCGCGTGACTATAGGAAAAGAGTTAGAGCGATAGTGAAGTAAGGTTAATCAGTGATTATCAGGGTTACCAGAGATGACTATGGGATCCAATGCTATGTAACGCCAAGGATAGTAAGGGTACGACTGAGGGGTTCGCTACATTCTTACTCTAAAACTTGCAATATTCCTATCTTGCCTGGAAATCTGTCCCAATTTAGTCGCAGAGCATTGCGTTAAACCACAAAATGCATGGTTACAAACTATATTACTTTCAAAGTGACTGGATGTTCTTACCTGTGATGCACATCTTATCACGGAAGTGTCTACTCTCTATATCCCGCTTGCGAAGAGATAGGAACTGCGAGCGAGGACGCAGTGGCTAGATACCACAGGCATGTACCCGCTACAGAAGCCTTTAGGTGCTGGTGGACGTACCGTGCGGCTCTTTCAACTAGCTCCTATGATAGATACCGCGAAGATAGAAAAATATGTAAACAACACATAAGGAAAGCTCGGCTGCCGTACGAAAAAGTATTGGCGACTAGAGATTTGGAAAATCCGCAGAAGTTCTTCGTTTTTGTTAAGAGACGCTGTGGTTCAACTTCGGTAACCCAACTTTGTTGCGGGCCGATGTAACTCGTGCGCATGCGGACGCAGATAAGGCTGGCGTACTTGGGAACAGTATGCAAGGGCTTTCGTACGTGAGGCCGCGTTGACTAGCGTTGAACTTGCCCCCAGAGTACCTGATGGTTCTTATTTAGCCGAGTTTACTGGGGTGGAAAGACGGCTTTAAACTGCAGCATGAACTGAACCTTTCCAGAGCGGCTGGACCTTATTCAATTCACCCGAACTTGCTGCATGATTGGGTGGGGAACTAAGTGGGCCGCTAACGATGGTGTTCCAGAAGTCACTTGACAGCTTACATTACCTTCTGAATGGAAGGAGGCTGTCATCTGTCCTATCTTCAAAAAGGACTACAAGAGTCTGTTAGCCAATTATAGACCGGTCAGTCTGACTAGCGTCGTGGTCAAACTGCTTGAAACGCTGGTGAGAGATTCGTTGGAATGTCACCTGAATAGATTTAATCTACTCAGTAGTGCACAATGTGGATGCCGGAAGGGGTCTTCGTGTTTGTCGAATTTGTTGGCTGCTCGTGAAGCTTGGGCCAAGGCAGTGAACAATGGCCACGTAGTGGATGTGTTTTCCGTAGACTTCTCGGAAACATTTGCTAAGGTACCCCACTGGAGGCCATCACAGAAGCTAAGCTCCTACGGCGTATTTGACCGCGCCCTTCACTGGGTATCTGCGTTGTTGCAGGGAAGATCGCTATGTGTACGTGTGGGTCGCAGCTTATCCTTTAGGCCAGCAGTCCTTAGCGGTGCCCCACAGGGTTCGGTCCTTGGACCGATGCTGTCCTTCATCCACGTAAAGAATCTCCCTGGAGAGCTTGGGGTATCATCTCTATTGTTTGCTGATAACGTTATGCTATTTATTGTGGTAAGTGTTCCTGGGGGTTCTGAGGCCATATAGCATGCACTGGGCATACTCTGGGACTGGTCTAATTTGTGGCTACTGCCCATAATTCAGGCCAAGCGTTCCGTTCTTCGTATAGGAGCAACTTCCCACCTTCGAGCTACGTACTCGATGGGGTCGAACTCACACTTATCTCCCCCCAGGTAGACATAGGCTTCCTCCTTTCCTCGTCTTTGCATTCTGGTAACAAATGGAAGAAGGCCGCAAGTAGGGTTTTCAGAATGTTGTGGTTAATACATCGATCTTTCGGGATCTTAACTGCCGACATATTTGTGAAGCTGTTCTCAGCTTTCGTCCGGCCCCATCTGGAATACTGCATCCAGGCTTGTCCGCCCTGCCTTGTTGGGGACAAAATGAAGCTCGAAAGGGTTTGCGAGTAGGTACCAAATTGGTCGAGGGGTTACAAGCGCAAACGTACCCCGTGCGTCTAATTAGATAGGACATGTATTCAATGCACTACCGACGAATTCGAGGCGACCTAATCCATACTTACCGCATTTTAACAGGGAAGGTGGAACCGGACTTGAGCTGGCTATTTAGCTCGGCTAGGTTGCCATGTCTTCGCGGTCATCCCATGAAGCTACAGAAGCCGCGTTCTGACCAGATCAGGGCAGATACTCGGTTATCGCGTAGAGTTATCGAGCGCTGGAACTCGCTTCCAGAAAGTGTAGTCAGTGAACCTTCGGTCAAGGGTTTCGAGCGTCAGTTAGAAGCACTTGGGTGGCAACACGAAACCCTTCCCTTCCCCTGACCATATCCATCTTCAAACTTTTAGTTCTTATTCTATCATTCTCTTCACTCTTTGGGGTTATCCTTCATCTAATGACTTTCATTCTCTTTATCTTCCATTTACTTTCTACTTCTTTCGTACGTTACGTAACCTACACAGCCGTGACTGCTAGTGCAGGGAAAGTGGGCACCAATTGATTGGTCAGGGTGTGTTTCTGGTGTTTCGTTTTATCTCTCTCAAGACCTAGCACCTTATCATTTCCTGGCTCAAAGAGTTGATCAAGTAGGAACATTCGAGGGATTTTCCTGTCGTTCCAGTCCACCTGAAGCTGAATCTTTATGTGAGGCAAACCGAGGACGTTGCTATGGACACTGTCGAGGACAACTTAGAATGGTACAGATAGCACGACGGCGCACTGGACGCTCACAGTTGGCGGGAACAGGATTTGACGGTCGGCGTTCAGCGGTACAATTGAGTGCAACAAAAATTAATTCACAACCATTAGGTAGATGGAGAATGAACACCAAAGAAGTGAATTAAACCAGGGATTACAAAAAGAAAGTAAGCGAAATTGGATCTCTTGTTGTGTGTACAAGCGACTAAAGCAGTCGGAAACATACACGTTAATTATAGGTGCGAATAAAAGAAAAATAGACACAAAAGGAAAATAAGTGAAAATTTCTCCAAATTAAACGGTGCATAACTTATTTCAATCTAATAAAAATACGAAATGCTACCTATACCTACTCCAAGGATGAGTCACCGTAGACCCACTCTCCTCCTAGGACCTGGCTGAAATGTGAGTGTGTCGACCCGTGCACGACTTCACATAACGCTAACTAAAGCGTATGGATGTTGCGGACGATAATGAGAAATTTAAAATTTACCAACCGTTAGATTATTCTTTTATGGACATCAAGGACCCACCAGGTAGTTTATTCTATATTGTGACAGTAGAAGTAGATATACTTAAGTCACAACCCAGGATTTATCGTGGTTTAACACTAGAATGCCCTAAAAACCAAGACGGAAAGTGGCTCACTAGATCTTTTAAAGCGACCAACAATCAACTGACAGAGTTATCTGAAATGCCCAACATACTGGCAGAACTGTTTGGAAGCTTCGACTGGGTCACATGGTTGGACCTTTCCTGCAATAAGATAAACGCTATTCCTGTGGTGTGAACAATTTCGATTACGAATATCTTTATCTAAGTCCATACAGAAGCTGACGCGATTGAAGTTGTTTTATCTACACGGAAATCAAATAAAGTACTTTCAGGACGTCCAAAGATTGACGAAATTGAAAGAGTTGAAAAAACTTACTCTACATGGAAATCCTATTGAAAATGAGAAGGTCGGTTTGGCACATACTTTCGTAATGCATATTTTTGTTACCATATTGCACAAAATGCATACCTTTATGACAAATTCTCTGACCAAGAGTTTACCGTTGAATGTCAGATTGAGAGTTTTAACATATTTGAACGGAAAGATATAACGGCTAGTAAGCTTAAAGATTACTAACGGAAGTAGTTTGTGGTGGACGGTTACCGGAAAAGTTCAAATCTCGAGGCAAAATACCGCCTTAAGCAAAACCTCGCAGTGGAAGCACAATAAGGCTCACTTGCGTTATAGTTCTTCCCACAGTTACCGTCAGTACTAAGCCGACTGGTGATTCGTAGCTACGTAGCCGACTGCTTGGACAACATGGTGACAGCACAAACACAGAGCAGCAGGCGAAACTAGCAGGACGCGATCGTGCTGCTGATGCTGTACTCAAAGTTGATGATTAAAAAACGTACAAAATGGTTGTTAAGGTTACTGACACTCTTCCTGATAAACAGCACATCGACCCAAGCGACCGTGAAAAAAACTATGACAATCATTCTCTAGATTCTGTAGTCCAGAAACATTAACGGCACACAGTTCACCTCTGTACTTTTTACGGAGTTCTGCAGACAATGCGCCGTCCAGCACATCCGCGCACCTCCGTTTCACCCACAAGCAAAATGGCCAGGCAGAGATATTCCTGGATACTTTCCAGCGAGCGCTCTTCACAGCGAAAAGGAAAGAATGTATAGGGTAGATGATTAACCGATTCCTATTTTTATACCGATCAGCGCCAGATTGACAAGTGCCGGACGGAGTCTCGCCAGCACAGGCTATGATGAGCAGAGAGCTGCGTATGCCATTTGATGCCATTGGACCAAGCCCGCTACCCTCTGTTGGCGCAGCGAACCGCAGAATGGAATGGGATTCTAATCAGCGGCATGGTTATAAGCAATGGACGTTCAAGCCAAAGCAGACAGTGCTAGTGCGGGCCTATCGGTCAGGGTACGCTAGTTGTACTCTTAGTACAATCAAAGGCAAGCGCGGGAATGTGATATATGAACCGATCGTAGGGACCCAGACATGGGTTTGCCACAAAACCCAGCTATGGACAACGCTGGGCCAACCAGAGGAAGTAAAGCCTGCTGAGCTTCTGTTTGAATTGTTGGCAGAGTGCTTCAATTTGCCGAAGGGGTCTACGCACAATGGCTGTCAGCCCAGGAACGAAAAATGCACGACAGACCCCGGGACTAGTTTCTCGCGCATTTCAGCCGAGGCGATAGACCGACCGAATTTGAATACCGTCCAGGAGGTTACACGTCAACCCCAGGCTTTCTTCTTACACCATAAATACGATCTCAGTCGGCCCGTAGCGTAGAGGTAACGAGGTTGCCTTTTACTCTTGCAGCGCGGGTTCGAATCCGCGTTGGGGTGGGCGTCCTCGCGGTATACTCAGCCCGCGTGCAACTGCTGGTGATCGCACGGCAACGAGGCGCCGTTGCGGCGTACAGCTGACGCACTATTATATCCCATCTCAGGAGGGAAGGTGTTCGGGAGCAATTAATAAGTTCCAGAAAATATCCATTATTTTGGCGCTTATTGATTGTTAACGATTATCGCAACGATTTCGAATCTGCTGGAATATTCTAAACAGCAGAGACTAAAAACTTTCTGAAGGTCGGCCAAATCTATGTGGAGCAACTAAACTTGGCGTCTGACCTTCTAGATCTAGAAGTCGAAGGTCATGAGGCGACCTGTAAATATGACCATGATCTGCCATCTTTATGCAGCTCCTATTTGACTGCAGTTAACAGGTTATTTTGGGAAGGTTTTCTGGACTTTTTTGGGTTTGAGGTCGCGCGAAATAGATTAGGTACGTGTTTCGGAACTGCAGCAAGGAAGAATATTTAATAGACACAAAGAAAGATAAAATATGATGTAAATAAAACCGCTAAAAAAAACTAAATGGCAAAGGATATTGGCCAAAAGAGAAAAACCATATGCAAGAATCTGATTACACGATTAGCCAATTGTAATAGAAAGTTATAAACAGCATTAGATCAGCTATTTGAGCTGACACCTTACTGCCGTACAACGACAATAACCTATGAAACGAAGAATAATAAGAGTGAAGGAAGAGGGACTTACCGGAAAACTTAATGTCCTAAGCAAACATTAGGCGTCAAGTGTCTATAGCTTAAGAAAAGCAAAGAGACTGTTTGGTGAGCAACTGCCTTCAAGAATTCATCATTAGACCAGTACAATCACATATAGGACTAAAAATGGGAAGGGTAAAATCGACCAATTAGATCAAGCAAAATAGGCGAAAAATCCCAACGAGTTGATTACATGTAACGGAGTTTGACCTCATGTCGTTGACCTCAGTATCCCCATTTTTTCGGGCCAGGGAAGCTGTAGAGCCTGGACTAGCTTCTTTTGCGAGCATAAGGACGGTTGAAATAATCGAATGCAAATTGCTTCGGGCCTCGCAAGTGTACGAAGGCGTTACTCTTTTGTTCTGTGCGGTGTAACATCGCATAAAACTCTAAAGGCACAACTCTAAAGGCGCACTCTAAAAGCACACTTTAGATCCATCTGATGCTCACTGTTGACAACATGAAACAAAATGAAACTACTAATGGTCCCGGTGCCAGCTTGATGCAGCCAACGTGGGCAATGTTAATTCACTCGTTTGGACAAGTGCCACGCCGTTCGACGGACATACGTTGCGCCATAGGCAAACTCGAACTGATAAATAACCATTGAGACAATCAGAATGGGTATCCTATCCTTGTTTCGTGAACGGACAGATGCTTCCGTCAAAAACACGCACTTTAGCGTAGCTGCTGCGAAGGTCCCCTTAGTTGCGCCCAAAAGATTTCGGGTTAAACGTTCAGTAACTGCATCCCCTTTTAACAGTAGTCATGTGAATAGCTCTTTCTTCGCCGCAGTTAACACTGGCACCTGTTTAGGCTTTTCCCCAAGGTTTCTTTAAATAAATCTGTTGGGGTATGCATTTTCGCCTACACCATGCCAAAATCATACATTCACAAAAAGCTGACTATCGTGCAACGATAAGGTGGCTTCGATGAGAAAGCATCCTTGCGGCTTCCACTGCCACGCGTCATAATCAGCATCGGACACAGGTTAAACAAGCTGTCCGACGGCATCAGCTACGGTATTGGTGTCGATAGTAAGCCATGTCTTGTAAAGCCTCGAGCCACGAACAGGGCAAGTCACCTCCACTCCAGCTTGGTAGGCGAGACAAACCGACGGCACCAAGTTTGGTCATCAGTGACTTCATTTTCCGCTGACAACTCAAATTTCTTTCATTCGGGGCTTTTGCCACCCTAAATATGGCGGACAAAAACTAGGATCTTCTAGGTAAGCGTTGACTGGGCTTACGTAGTGATGCTCAAGCCAATGTTACTTATTCAGTGCTAGCTGTTGTTCTAAATAGTTACCTTTGTTATCATTGCCTAGTACTCGCCTACGCATATAATCGTTGCGAACACGCTGGTGTCACCCGACACCAGCAATGCTTCGCAGACAGTGATGATCAAAGACTTGAAGGCACTTAAACCGTCAGATCGGGGGACCAAGTGCCACTCCCATAAAGTAGGACGGCACTTACTATGACCTTGTAAACACGGCCTTTCTGGCCAAGCGAAATCTTCTTATGACACCGTAGATGTAAGGCAGTTCGAGTTTTTGCAATACGTGAAAATAATCTCAGTGGTAATGCGTCCGCGGTTGCCCTTGCAGCTGTCAAGTGCAGTGAATTGATCAATTACCTCGAGTTCCTCACTATCGAGGGCCAGTGGATCATCTTGTGGCTGGTTGTTGTGCAACAAAACTGCACTCTGATGGTGCGAAGCGCGTGCCAAATGATGGGAACACATTCCATATGTTATTCAGCAAGAAGATATCGTCCATATAATCAAGATGAACTAACCTTTCAACAGGCAGCACATCAACGCCCGCATTGCAAGAAACTTCAATGCAACACTCCATGATGGAGTCAACGTCGTTATTGACCAAAAAAGAAGGAACTGGACAACCCCGACTAACGCCACTCGAACGAGATGCCGTCGCCTTATTAGACATGTCATCTCCACTGGCAGAAATCGAAGGAATAGATTTTAAAGTTTGTTGAAATAGTCCATGACTTGTAACTTGCACTGAACCAGACCCAGATGTTATTTTCCAAGGTACTGACTGCGGTACTACCGTTAGGAAACGAAGAACAGACACCTGATAATGCAGATAAAGAAGACGAAGGACTGACGATGATTTGGAAATCACAGAAGCTCCAAAATAAGGTGAAGTTAGACATATTTACTGCAATTAAAGTCATTTGCTGTGGTAAATTGTCAAAGCATGCTGAGTAGTGTGGCTTGTGCTGAGAGAGCTGTTTTCAGTTACCTTTGTGATAAGAGAAACATAAACATTAACTTTTTCTTCAAAAATGATTTAAATTTCGAAATGTACACTATATTTTGCTTTCTTATAATACTGTATAGTTGAACTTTGTTTGACGATGCGTGAAACTTCGTCTAATGTGTTCGAAACGGGTATATGTGAAGCTAAATCACATACTATACTACGCACAACGAAAAAGTAGGTTACCATAAGTTTTTGCATAGAACCTCCTTATGCTGACCACTTTGGTCCAGTCCATTGAGAAAGCAACTTACAATGCTGCTGCATAGGTGGTAAATATGGCATTGAACACCAACCGAACGGCAAACGGCGAGCGTCTGTTGCCACTGTGCACGGAACACTGGCCGTTTCTCAGTAACACTGGCCGTTTCTCAGTAACACAACCACCATCATCACCACTGTGTCTGTGTCATCATCACCAACGGCAGTATATCAGTCATTTGAACTGATGCTTTACTGCCATACAACCATAATGATCTAAGGAAAGAAGAATAACCTTAGTGCCCTAAGAAAATATTCAGGGTCGAGGCACCTACCCCTTGTCAATAACATACATTCACATACGGTTGTCTATCTTGCAAAGACAAGGCGGCATCATCGAGACAGCTTCCTTGTGGCTTTCACCACACCGCGTCATAATCAGCAATTACCCTGCAGATACCTCAACACCAAACACACTTTAAACAGACAATCCGAATAGGAGACGGCAACAGACGAGCCACTTGTGTCGACTGCGAGCCATGTCCTGTAAAGTCTCTAGCCGAGCACAAGGCGGTTCAAGTGAACTCCAGTCCGAAAGGCGAGACGGACCGACGGCACCCAGTTTGTTTGTCCGTGGATTCTTTTCGCGCTGTTACGTTAACTGTTGTCCACCTCGAGCCTTGTACAAGCCTACATCCGGCAGACAAAACACGACCCTCTTCGATAAGCGGTGATCGGGTATACGTAGTACATGTCCAAACCAACGCAACTTATTCAGTGTTATCTGTTGTTCCGAAGAACTAGCTTGGGTATCATTGTCTAATACTCGACTATGCACATCACCTTTGCGTACACGCTGGTGCCACCCGACACCAGTAATGCTCTGCAAACAGAGATGGTGACAAACTTGAATGCGCTTCAGGTTTTCAGACCGAAGAGGCCAAGTCTCACTCCCATACAGTAGGACGGCCCTCACTGTGACTTTGTAAACAACGCCTTACAAACGGTGGGTAACACTTTCTGTCCCCAATACTGTCGCAAATTCAAGGAGGCATAGCTGGCTTTTGCAATATGTAAACTGACTTCAGTTTCTGGTGCATTATTACCAAAGTAAGTGGCTTGATCAGATACCTCAACTTCTTCGCTACTTACGGTCAGGGGCTCATCAGATGGTTGGTGGTCCTACAACAAAAATTTGCACTCTGAAAGTGCTGAGTGCATACCAAATAATGGGACCACTCTATATCTACTATCCAGGATTGGTTGCGCCGCCCCAACTTCAGTAAACTGGAGGATGATATCGCCCACATAATCAAGATTAACTAATCTTTCTCCAGACGGCATCTCAACGCCTGTTTACTGGATTTCACAAGGTAACATACTATGATAGAGAACACGGCGAAATGGAACAAAGGTGGGGAAATCGGACAACCCTGACGAACGACACTTGTTGTCCGAGAGCTTTCCGACAGGTCACCGTAGACCTTGACGCGGCCTACAGTGCTCGAGAACAGAGCCCGTAAAAGGTTCACATATTTGATGGGAACACCTTACCGCGCAAGTATTCTTAACATAATGCATCGAGCGAATGAGCCAAACGCACTCTTGAATTGTCGGTCTGCAGTATGTGTGGCGCTGCTCTAGCATCTGCCGCAGAGTCAATATGTGGTCTACACAACCACGTCCAGGGGGAAAACATGCTTGCTTTCTCTAATCCAGAATTCCCGTTCCGCAGTGAGGTGGCGAAGGAGAAATGCGACCAGTAATTTTGTCAAAACTGGCGTCAGGTTAATGGCCTCTGGTTAGCACAGTCAGTGCGACTGCCCTACTTGTATATTGACAGTATAATCGATTCACTTCAATTAGCCGGGACGGTCTCGTCCTTACATACATGTTCGCACACGGCGGTCATAACTCTGGGGAGGATCTTATCACCTTTAAATAGTATAGGGTGGAGGAATCAGGCCCATCAGAACGAAAACAAATAAGGGATATGATCGCGTTTTGGACCTGAGGCTCCGATGGAGCCCCTAAAATAACCGTTTATAGGTTGCCCAGTATAACCTGAGTAGTAGGAGGTCCGGAAGCAGAGCGCCAAGTGAGCTGATCTTTGAAGTGTTCCGCCCAACAAGCCATACGGCGGTCTTTATTATTAATCAGAGCACCCGCATTGTCTCTAGTTGTCTCGCTAGCGCCTGGCTTTCTGGGGCCAAGGGCGCGGATCAGCTGGAAGAGCTTGCGACAGTTCCCTAATGATCCCGCCTTCATCTCTTGAGCCCGATTTGTCTACTAGGTTTCCTTATCATCTCGCAGTAGCATGTTTTCGTTTATCCGCTCTGCTGTATGCGGCAGATAAAGCGATCCTTGATAAGCTGCGCAGCGTCTGACGCAGCGGGTAGTTAAATCTGGTGAAAATTGTTATGGTTTTATGTGGGCTGAGATAATACCAAGGCGCCCGGACCTAAACAAGAGAACGAGTAGGGTCTTCAAACAAAGCCTTTGTCGCAAAAGTCCATCCGCAAGGCAGCAGGGAAGTGGCAATGATTTAGTTTTGCAGAAATGGACGCCATCCCATTTCAAACCCCCAACCTGGTGGACCAGGAGACTGAGTTTGTCTGACCTCTCACTATTGGCCAACCTGGTAAGAATACTTCCTAAGGGGTCAGGAGGCACCACCCATTATAGTTCAGTGGGTCAAAGGCGATCAAACCGTCGCACGACGTTAAGGATCAGTCTCGTTGCGTCGGGTACAATCACGTTATCTCTCCCGTAACTTTCAGAACTGGGAACAAACCAAGTATCCTCCATCATGTGTTCATCAACAAGGAGGTTATGATCGAAACGGTATTGACAGCTACTTCTTTGGGCCGCAGCGACCAGGCAACGCTCTTGTAATGTAGAGTATTCTGCAGAAAATGCCGACGACTCTCAGTTCATTACTCAGTACGGCGTTCTAACCACACTTATTAATGCAACTGACTAGTCATTTCTAGACTGGTGAGATTTGTTCTTCAATTTAACAAGTTAGTAGCCTGTGAGTCGATGAATATGCTCCTGCGTGCGATGAGAGTAAAACCATTCATACGCAGCAGGACGCGTAAGTATATGGTCACAAGCGATTCACTTTGGTGAACATGCAAAGAGGCACCGGGTATCGAAACATGGCAGTCCTACACTATCCAACGAAATCATTGCGCGAAACCGGTGCTCGAGGATAAGCTAAAACACCAACAGGATATAGCCTATAACTTCTCCTTAAAACCCAAACTCCTTTACAGACATGTTAACAAACTCCTCAAAATGCAGTGTGGTATTCCTTCCCTCCGCACGTTAATTTTACAAGCACAAACCTCGGTCGAAGCGACAAACACACTACGTCATCAATTCTCCCCAAACTACGCGAACACGGCTTCGTCGCTTATGCTATTCACGCAAGTTACACCACCACCAGGAGTTAGTCATATCTCGTTTATCGCTACGGATGGTCTGAAAATGGTAAATTCCCTACTCGAGCATACCGCTCCCGGTGCTGATAACATCCACTCAAAGGCGCTGAAGTAAACTGCACTGCATTTGGTGGATCTAATCTCTAAGCTCTTCAACGATGTCACTACGAGATGTGTGTTCCCACAATGTGAAAGCACTATATCGTCACTCCCACTCACAAAGTAGGAAATCGTGCAGATGCAGCCAACTATCGCCCGATAACTTTCCAGCCGGTGTTAACCAAAGTCGTGGAGTCTATTAGTTCCGAGGTGCTCATGAATTACTGGAAGCTTGCAAAATCATAGCACTATAACAGCATGGATTTCGCCAGAACCGGTCTTGCACCGCAAATCTGCTGCTTGCTCATTCCATTTGGACTGAAATCGTTGACATCGGTGTAGGATTTAACATAGTCTACCTGGGCTTCTCTGAACCACTGCATCCTCATTCACAAACTTCAGAAATATGGAATTTTATGTAACTCAGTTTTCGGGTGGATAGGTAACTTTCTGATTCAACGACATCTTAATGTAAGAGTTCACAATGCCATCTCTGACCATATCGACGTTCGGTGATTTACATGAACAACTTGTAAGAGTGGTCACTTCCAATTTCTTACTCTTCGCTGATGATCTCAAGATATGGCAGGCCATCAAAACAACGAGTGACCATGTAGCGCTTCAGGATGACCTTGATAGGGTATACGAATGGGCGACCCAGAACCTGCTTCACTTCAACGCCACCGAGTTTAAGACATTGAGCATACGCCATCAATCCACTTGCGAATACAGGTTGGGGGATCAAGCTTTGCAGTGTTCTATTACTGAATGTAATCTAGGTGTGATAATACAAGCAGCTAGACTGCTCACGTCAGGCCGCGGACGTCTTACAAAGACAATCAACACGTTGGCCTTTTGTGGAGAGTGTTCGGGCGCCTTGACCCTTCAATTTTCCTTCAGATGATTAGTGCATACATTTGGGCCCATTCAGAATACACTACTTACGCCTAGCAGACCTGACACAATCACGACCTCACAGCATTTGAAATGCTGTAACAAAGGGCGACCAAGAACGTCAATGTTTCATCTCCCCTACTAACTGAGGCTGAAAACTCTTTTGGTCTACAGTGGACAATATTGACTGCTGTGTGGCGATTTGATGACATATCTGGTCCTAAGATATCCAAACCATGCTTGTAGTTAACTTCTTAAGTTGAATCACGAGACCATTCTGACAGATCACCAGCTAAAGCTGACCACGCAGTATAGCCAGTTGGATT